ATGATAATTTCAATTGTGAAGAAATTTTGTTTGTAAAAATTAATTTTCATTCTTGCTTTTTGTAAATATTTTATTAACGACTTTTCATCAATCATTTACATTTACAATAATTTGTATTATTATTATTATTATTATTATTATTCATTATTGTTCTCTCTATTATTATATCTATTATTGTTATTCTTTCTTTATTTCTCATATAACAATAATAAAGTAATTGTTTTTATTAAAAAATTATTTGACATTCATTATTACTTTTTTATTGTTACTCTTATTTTCTTATTGTTGTTTTTATTTATTTTTAATTCGATATTTAATATTTTAGTTAATCGTTTGACAATTACAGTAATAAGCCAAATGAATTGAGGTGAAGAAATTTAATAAGCTAATTTTATAGACATTTATAAAGCGGTAATGAAATTTAATTATTCCGTAATAAAATTCAATTATTAAAATTAGTTTCATGTTTTCTCTGAGTTCACTCATTATAATTATAATACCTCATTGTGAAAAATAAGAAAAAATAAACAATGGGTAATTAATGTTATATTTTTAATAATAATTATAATATTATTAGCAATGTTAATAATAATTATTAATATAACAAATATAATATGAATGTAATAAATATAATAAATATAATAATTATAACAATGAACAATAATAATAATAATAATAATAATAATAATAATAATAATAATAATAATAATAATAATAATAATAATAATAATAATAATAATAATAATAATAATAATAATAATAATAATAATAATAATAATAATAATAATAATAATTTTAATAATAATAACAGTTATTATAGTAATAATGGTAAACAGTTGTAATAAGAACAACAACAACAGTAACAATATTAACAATTAGTTTCTTAATTTTCAATAACACTTATACGAGAACGTGAAGGTACTTTTAGAAAACATAAAAAAGTTCTGTCTGACTTGAAATCGTTTTTACTACTGCTACTTAAGTTGTAAGAATTTGAAAGTTCCCAGTCTGACTATCACACTGACCTTTACTACTGAGAAAACGTTACCCGGAAAGATCTCAAAGACTCGTCTGACTAAAGTTGATCCTTACTACTAGTTTATTAATAATAAAAATTGGAAAACTTCTCGTCTGACTAAAATGGACTTCTACTACTGTAAATTTTCTATTTGTAATAATAAATATAGTAATAAAAAATAATAAATAAATAATAGTAATAAAAAGTAATAAATAAATGATAGTAATAAAAAGTAATAAAAAGTTGACCAATAATACTAGTTTATTAATAGTAATAAAAGTTGGAAAACTTCTCGCCTGACTAAAATTGGCTTCTACTACTGAAATTTCTGTAATTGTAATAATAAATATAACAGTAATAAAAAATATTAAAATAAATAATAGTAATAAAAAGTAAAAAAAACAATTGTAACTGTAACTTTATAATCTGTAATAAATAAAATGAATTTTAATTAATAATATATATCGACTTATAATTGAGAAAAACAATTTAAAGTTAGTTATCTATATTAAAATCAAAATTCACTTGTTAATTAAATTGTTCGATCCACAAATTACATATTTAAATTCGCATTGTTATTTCAATATCATTGCGAATTTAATTTAACAGACTATTATTTCTTTATTATCATTGTTTTATTTATTTCAATTTATTCATAAAAATAGAAAGAAAATAAAAATCAATAAAAAATATATATATTTCATTAAGAAAATTCAAACTTGTTTACAATTAAATATAAAACTCAACTTCTAATATCAATATCAAGATTAAATATTTATTTAAAAATGAGTTGATTTTCATAATTTTTGACATTCTTGTTTTTTATTTATTTTATTTAAATTTTAACATTTATTTATTAATTATTTATTTTATTTATCTATATTGTATGTATTATTTTATAATAAAAAAAGAGTGTATCCTTTGATATTCTTTTTTGCAGCAATAAGTTCTCGTAATCTTTTCAACTTTTTTTTTTTTTTTTGCTTTTTTTTACATCACTGTTCACGTGATGTATGCCAGGTTCTAAAATTAATATCCCCTTTTTTATTCTCTGAAATAGACGACAAACTATGGAGTGCAATAAAATTACAAAAGAAGTCTAGATGCTTTTTAATGCATTCAAAAGTGATTTTCCTCTGAAATTGTCTACCTCTTAAAAGGAGCAATTGAAAACCAAGCCTCAAGGACAGTTGTAGAATTCGCGTATAAAAGGGGAAATTCATAATATACCGAATTTACAATTTAATAACCCTTTTCATTTTGGAAATTTAAACAATTCTTATTAAATAAGAAAAGTGTTTTTTTATGCATATTTGGTAATTTTTTTTTTTTTTGACTACTTAGTAGTATCCTGTGTTAATTTATTTTTCTACTACTTGTTTTCAAGTTTATCGTGTTTTGTTCATTTTGACTATATTTTATAACTTTTTTATTTGTTTTAGAATTTTTTACTACATTTTATAACTTTGTACTGTATTTTATAGGTATATGTTTATTGTATTTTTTATTTTATTTAGTTTACTGTATTTTATTATTTTGTTTTTACACCTATACTGTGTATTTTATGCCTTTATTACATTTTAATACCTTTTACTATATTTTACAATATTTTATTCTATTTTGTACCTTTAGTAAATTTTTCAATATTTTATAGTATTTTATATTTTACACGCTCTCAAAATTTGAATTAATTAAGAATAGCTAATTACTAGTAAAATCGTGGCTCACTTTTTGCTTTAGCATTTAATAAAATGTAACTAATTAGTAGATGATTACTAATAATTAAACTCAGAAAACAACATCTTTGAAAACGAACTTTGAATCAATCTTTGTTGTACAGTCAACAAAAATTTATTTTTCATTTCAACATAATAATTTTGATTCAACACATAATAAGTTTCATTAAAGAAAAATTACGTTTTATTCAATTATAAAATTGATTTTATTTTCGGTTGGTTAAAAATATTTTTTTGGTTGCTACTGCTATCAGTAAATTTCTACTAAAATAAAAACTTTCTTTTCACATTTAGTAGTTTTTTTATTCTGCTAATAAACTTCTATAAAAAAAAATTTACAATTTTCATCTATTCTCAACAATATTTATTTGTTAATTTTTATATTTAGTAGGTCATTTCGAAAAGTAAGTAATTTTTTTAATGCACTAGTTAGCACTTTTTTTTACTATGCTTGACAGATGCTTATTGTAACAAACAGTTTTAAATTTTTAATAATATTTTTTAAATAAATTTTAGTTTTTTATTTCTCTTTATAGAATTTTTATTAGAAGGAATAGTTTTTACCGTATTTAGTAGTTTTTTTTTACTATAATTACTAATTTACTTTATTTAGTTCTTTTTCCTCTTTTAGTTATTTTCTTATACTCAATATTTTTCTAATACGTTTTTTATTTTTTTTTATTTTTCATATAGTAGTTTGCACTATATTTAGTAGTTTTTGGATAGCTCGGTCTAATTTTTACTAATTTTCATAGCTTTTTACAAATATTTTATACCATTTTTATAGTATTTATTTTGTCAATTAAAAGCTTTATTAAATTTCGTCTTTTTTATGTTCATTTCTTTCTTTCTTTGGATGAAAATTACTTAATATAATGAAAAACTAATAAATATTGATAAAAGTTACTAAATATAGTAAAAAATTGTTGCGAATAGTAGAAAATTACTAAATATTGTAGAAAGTCAGTAAATATATAGTAGAAATCGATTAAAATCTTTTTGTCGTTAGACAAAAATTACTTCATAATAATAATAATAATACTTAATAAAAAAAAATAAATATATATATATATATATATATATATATATATATATATATATATTATTTTTAATACATAATACTTCATAATTACTTCATAAACAAATATTGATAGAAAATTACTAAATATAGTTGCAAACGATTTAATGTAGTAGAAAACTACTGAATGTAGTATAAAAACTACTAAATTTAGTAGAAATCAACTGAATTTAATAAGAAATGACTAAAGCTAGTAGAGAACTACTAAATATAGTAGAAAACGACTAAATATAGTAGGGAACTACTAAATATAGTAGGGAACTACTAAATATAGTAGACATTTACTAAATTTAGTTGAAAATAACTAATTATAGTGGAGAATTACTAAATGTAGCGGAAAACTACAAAAAATAGTAGACAACTACTAAATGTTGTGGAAAACTACTAAGTATAGTAGAAAACGACGAAATGTAGTGAAAAACTACTAATTTTAGTAGAAAACGACGAAATGTACTAAATATAGCAAATAGACGACTATTTAGAGTAGGAAACTACTAAATATCGTAGAAAACATTAAATTTTATAGAAAACTATTAAATGTAATAAAAAACAACTTAATAGAGGAGAAAAATACTAAATATAGAAAAACAACTTTACGGAGTAGAAATAGAGCAGAAAACAACTAAATATATAAGAAGGATACTAAACATAAAAGAAAAACTTATAATTATTGTACAAAAATTCCTAAGCATTGTAAAAATAGCTACTTCAAGTGATAAATCACATTTCATTTTGTACTATTTTGACTAACTTTCTACTATATTTTTCTCAACATTTTCACTATCTTTAGTAGTCTTCTATTAAAAATATCAAATTTTTTTTTATTATTTAACATTTTTTTTAATTTATTAATTATTCACAATGTTTAATTTCTAGTGTATAATAGCAACAATTTTTAAATGAAATTTTAATCCCTTATTTTTAATTACATTGTATTAATTTTGTTTATACGTATAAAATTAACAGAAACTAAATTCTCAGCGTAGAATAACTCTTTTTTTTTATTTTTATCGGTCAACTAAAGACAAATTTTCGACATTCAAGTCCTAATTATATGCGGGTCACTTGTAAATTCCCCTCTCTTGACATGAAGAAAAAGAAACAAGAAATAAATGGATTTATAGTGGAGCTAATTAATTGTGATAAATGATGTTTTGGTCACACTCACTTTCTTTCAATGTCGGAGCGATAAGCGGGACCGCCGTCTGGACTTGATGGACCTATTTTGAATGATTATCGTCACAACATCAACCCTTTTTAAAGGGTTGCCTTCGAGGATACATGATATCCTCAAAAACACTTTAACAACTTTCACTTTAAAAACAAAAGAAAAAACTTTTAATTTTTGCAAAAAGAGGAGAGAGAGAAAAAGAAAAACACTTGAATTTAAAGTTTTTTTTTTTTTTTCGTTAACACTTGTCACCGAAAAACTTCACTTTTAATCGCTCATCTTTTTTTTTCTTCTTCTTCTTCTAAAATATTAGATAGAAAAAAGAGAAACACTCACGACACTTGATTAAAGCATGGAAAATAAATGAGAGAAATATTTTTAATTTTTTATGAAAACAACAAAACTGTGTCACGGGGGATTAAAGTGCCAACGTTTGTTTAACGCCAGCTTTCCACGCGGTCGACAGTTTTCAAAAAAAAAAATTTTAATTTCTAATTTTGAAATTTTAAAAATTAGGGAAAATTAATTTTTTAAATTAAATTTTGAAAGAAAATACACTTAAGACACATATATGTATATATATAGAGAGAGAGGGGAAAAAGGTGGTAACGGTAAATTGATTATTACTGTCAGCGATCCTTATTAGTTAAGGGTTGGGAGCCTACCAGCCCTTAAAAATCCCTTTCGCCGGATTCGCGAACTATCCTTTCGCCACTCGGTCCCTGCTTGACATGCACAGGCGCGAAACGGTTTAGAATTTCCGAGGGTTCGCGCGGACGCCGATGGGAGTCGTCGAAGAGAGGATAAGAGAGAGGGGGGGGGGGGGGTGGGAGAGAGGTGAGAGTGGTGGGTTCAGTTAAGGGGAAGGGAGAGAGATACACATACACACTCACAGAGAGAAATACAAATACACATATATATATATATAGAAAGAGAGAGAGAGAGAGTGGAAAAATGTAAACTTGGAGAGTGGGGGGAGAGAGATGAGGGTGGGGGGTTGAAGGTAGCGCAGGCGTTTTGGCGCACCGACGCATTGATCCCTGGAATTCGTCGGGACGATAGAGTGAATCCGCGGATGTCCACCCTGGAGAATTCCACGACTCCTTGCCGGTCAAGATTCGAAACGTATATTCAACCCTTCTTCCTTTACCCACCCCCCCTCCCCTTTTCGACTGCTTCTCTTTTTATATTGGCTGTATTACAAGATTTGGCAACTTCAAACGGAGACGGATTTTTTTCTTTTACTCTCTCTCTCTCTCTCTTTTTGAGTTTACTGATCTCGTTACGATTGAATCAGTCACATGCTTTCTGGACTCTATGTTTAGTTTATTTTAGTATAAAAATAGAGAAAAAGAGAGAGAGAGAGGGAAATAGGCGCAAGTGATGCTGCATTTTCTGTTTTAACAAAAACATAGTTGACACAGCGTTCAGCTTTTAGGGGAGGGGGTGGGTGGGGGGGGGTGGGAATTCATTTTACAGCAAACGCGTAGAGTTGAAAGTACTGCTACATGTTTTACGGCGACAGCGACGATTGCTTTTTGGCCAGCAGTAAATGGAGTCATAAGTTAGAGAAGGTTTTAGTGTCTAAACGCGCGTGGTTTTAAGCTTTCGGACCTTCAATTTTGAATTGGACTTTTCAATGATTCATGTCTTTAAATATTAATATGAATCTAGGGGCATAATAATTTGTGAACGATTTATTTCGGTGGGGAGGATTTTTTTTTTGGTCATCAGTAGGTTTCGATTCTATATAGGGAATAATGTTAATATAATATAATTAATTAATTAATTAATATAATATTTTTGATAATATTTCTAACTAAAATTAGTTGAAAAAAAACACTTCATAGAAAATTTTTGGGTTTTATTTTTAACACCAAAAACGCTGAGAAATTTTTTTTTTTTAATTCAAAAATATTTATTTTTGAAACTGGAAAGATATGTTTGAATTAAACATATTTTATAATCGGTTTTTCCAAGGATATCAAATTGAGAGAAAAAACCAAATCAAAAGTGTTCAATTATTTTTAATACAATTTTAATCGAATTCCTTGAAAAATACTTTAAACATTTTATTAAAATTCGTAGAAAGAATTCAGTTATTTAGAAATTTATAGATAAAATTCTTTATGAGAATTCAATTTTATAAGAAACATGCAATTATTCAATAAATTGTTATTTTTGTATTTAAATCATTTAATTCTAGTAGAATTTTCTCATAAACATTGATTCAAAAACGTACTTCAGTTAAAATTTTTAGATTTTAATTTAATATTAAAAGCATTAGAGCGATAAATTTTGAGAAATAATTGAATTTTAAAAAGGTTTCAAATTAAAATCTTTGAAAATTTGAATTTTTCATATTTTTAACTAACAATTCTGTGAAATTTTTTGAAATCTTTTTGAGAAACATTAGTTGCGGATTTTTTAAAAAATTATTTGAAGTTTTTATTTTCTAATATATATTTAATTGAAGAATTTACGATTAATTGAAATTTTGTAAAATTGAATTATAAACAAATGAAAAAACAAACGAAAAAAAATTCAATTTTGTAAAAGTTAGAAATTATTGCAGAAATTCAATTATTTTCACAAACAATAAAACTCATCGCAGAATTTCTCGGATGAATTTTATTAACATTTTTAAAACTAATTCAATTCCTACGAGGAATTTGATTTAAATTGAAAATAATTGAATTATTTCGAAATAGGTTTTATTTGACATTTTTTTTAACATAATTGAATTTCTAGAAAGAATTTTATTATTTATAAAAATAATTGAATTGTTTCGAAGATTTATACCAAATTTTTTTTATAATAATTAAATTCCTGAGGGGAATTTTATTGTTTATGAAAATAATTAAATTCATTCGATTAACTTTATTATAATTTTTTTTAATTATTTGAATTGTTTATTGGAAGAATTGTATTGAAATTTATAAAAATAATTGAATATATTTATTTATTCAAAAAATTTAATTGAAATTGTTCTAAAAATAATTCTATTATTGTAAACAATTTTATTATTTATGAATATAACTGAACTGTTTCGAAGAATTTTATTAAAATTTTGAAAAATAGTTAAATTATCCTCGAAAGCATTTAATTATTTTAAAAAATTATTCTTTTGAAAATAATTAAATTCTAATAAAGAATTGAATACAAATTTTTCGAAAGTAATTGAATATTAATAATAATAATAATAATTATTATTAGTGAATAAGTGAATTTTTTTAATTTTAAATAAGAAATTATTAAAAAATGGAATTTTTCTAAGAAATTTTATTATTTATAAAAGAAATTGAATTTTAGCGAAGAATTTTATTATTTATAAAAAGAATCAAATTCCTGCAGAGAATTTAGTTATTTATGAATATATAATTGAATTCTGTCAAAGATTTTTAACAAATTTTTTTTACCATTATTAAATTATTTATCAAAATAATTAAATTTTTGCCAGAAATTTTATTACAATTCTTTGTTATTAATTAAAGTTTTTAGAAGCAATTTATTAAAAGTTTCAAAAATTATTAAATTTTTCCGAAGAATTATATTAAAATTGTATTGAAAATAATTAAATTTCTGCAAGGTTTTTTATGAAAATATTTAGAAATAATTAAATTTTTTTCTATTATTATCTAATTATTATAGTATTTCAATATATTTTAACAATACTACTGTACTAGGCAATGTTGTATTGCAATAAATATTACATTACATAAATATTTTGCCTTGGCAACATTACGTGAACATTGCTCAAATGTTGTGTTACTTTTGGGATTGTATACAAGACATTAAGAAAAAATAATAGTTTAAAAAAAATTAAAATCAATACTGTAAGAAATATAAACGGAAATTTGAGGACGTTGAGAAAGAGAGAGAAGTAGAGAGAGAGAGAGAGAGAGAGAGAGAGAGAGAGAGAGAGAGCAACAAAAGCGGCAAAGTTGAGTAAGCAACCATCATACTCGTCTTATTATGCATCAATAGTAATGCTCTCTATTCAGTAACAAAGTTTATGTTCACATTAGGGACTTGTAGGATATATACATAACATATGTCTTTATGACCATATACATACGAGTATAAACTTTTAAGGTAAAAGTAAACTTTCTAAGGGAAGAAAGTTACACAGAGAAGAGTGAGAGAGAGACTTGAAAATAAAAATAATAAAAATAAAAATATTCCATGTCAATCGAAATGGATTCTCTTTTATTCTACATATATTTCCATTCTTGATAATTTTAAAAGCAAATCTTTCGTTTGTTGACTTAAACTACTAACGGTTCGTTGGAATATTTTACAAAAAATTTTTTTTTTTATTCTATTTTCCCTTTTTGTTTTTATTGAAAATCGAACGAAGGATACTTATTATTCCATTCAGATTTCGTTCTCAAGTTTTATTCAACGTTAATGATAATTACAGTTTTCTGTGTTTAATGATAGTTCTATGAAAATAGAGAATGAGAAGAAGAAAGAGAAATTATGATACGATGCTTTCTAACTTTTCTATTTATGATGAAAATTATACCAAAAAATTTTCCATTCTCCCTGAATTTTGCATCTCTTTATGACTTTTTGATTAAATTCTGTTCTATTAATAAAAATCGAAAATACAATAGAAAGTGTAATTAATAATGGAAATAAGAAATGCACTCAATGATTTAATTGAAAATAATTTTTTTAAAAATTCAATTTTAATATTATTTTTTTCTGATTCTAATTAATTCGATGTTTTTTTTTACAGAGCGATTTGAAAAATATATGGTGGAAGTTTACTATGAACAACCAGTGGACAATAATCAAAAGAAATTGGAAAAAATATGAGTCCTTTTTTTTTTAATTGCTAAAAAATAATTTTAAGAATTTTCGAAATTGATTGCACTGCGTTTGAGAGGAGGTTAATTATATTATATGTGTAAATGCTGTACTTGAAAGTTAACTAAGTATTTAATTCAATTTGTTGATATAAATAGATCAAAGAGGTTGAATAAGTTTATTGGCAAATTCAAACGAAAGTCAAGTGCATACTTATCGACTTTACTTGGGAAAAATAATTTAAACAAAAAAATATATAATTTCAGTAGTAAAGATCGAATTTAGTTTGACGGTATATTTGTGAATTTAAGAAACAAATTAATGTAAGTGGTAAGAGGGAAATGTTGTCGAATAAATTTTTCATGATTATTTAAGTAGTAAAAGACGTGAAGAGTCAGACGTGACAACATTTTCAGGAGTAGAACCAAAGTCAAGTCAGACAGAATTTTTTAAAGTTTATGTTACGAAATTCAAGTAGTAAAGGTCTGATTCAGTCAGACATGTTCTGTGTTTTTACTTTCTCAGTAGTAAAATAAATGCTTAATCAGAACTGACTTTTGCAAATTCATATAAATTGGTCACAAATAGCAGAAGTATGTTTTGTCTAGAATAATTTTCTGCAGTTGCCTTTTTTCAGTAGTAGAGCCAAGGTCAAGTCAGACAATTTTTGTAAAAGTTATTCTAAACTAAATACAAGTAGTAAAATTTCGATTAAGTCAGACAGACAAAATATTGGTATTAAATGTTCGTATTTTGTTACTCAGTAGTATAATACAGGTTTAGTCAGACTTGACTTTTCGCCAATATTCATGCGAATTCGTTACAAGTAGAATCAAAATTTTAAAAATAAAAATGTTTATTTTCGCAGTAGTAAAAAAAAAGTTCAGTCT